CTCTCTCTCTCTCTCTCTCTCTCTCTCTCTCTCTCTCTCTCTCTCTCTCTTTCTCTGTTTGTGGTATGTTTCTTGTTTGTGGATGGGGTGTAGGCTCTCAGCCACAGCTTCAGCATCCGTCATGCCTGCTTGCCTGCTACCAGGCTCCCTGCCATGATGGACATGGGCTCTACTGCTCTGGAGCTGGAGCCCCAAATTAAATGCTTCTTTCATTAAATTGCCTTGGTCATAGCAATAGGACATGGAGCAAAGCAAATGTGGGCTGAATTTCCCAAAACCATAAGCAAAAGAGCGGGCTTCATTGATGACGTTGTTTCTGTTGGGTATTTTGGTCACAGTGATGCAAAGGTAATGAGCAAGTATGGAGGATAGTGCTGTACTGTGGATCTTCCAGCTGCCAGGCTCTTTAATAGAATGTGCAACTAAGGTTCCTCTTGACCAATTTTGTCTGAAGTCCTAGAAGTAAATCTCTCAATGATATACTTTGTGAAGTTAGAGGCTGTATAATGATCTTTTTCACTTACTGGGCTCATAGGATTATTTTCTTTTGAGTAAATACATGAGTTAATGTTAGCTGTTATTAATCTTACAATGAACAGTCCAGGCTTCTATTGTAGACCTGATCACTTATGTGAAAAGAAGTTCCATTTGTAGTTTAAATGGTAATGTTTTACTTTCCTGATGTTCACATGACCTGACCCTCATCGTCATTCTCCTCATGGCTTTAATCAATCTGAATGATTTTTCAATCTGCAGACCCCAGGGCTGCAGGGTGCTCTTCAGAGACTACATAAACCCTTACAGCAAGCATAAAAAAATAAATGCAATTATAGATGCCCATCATATTGGGACCAAAAGCAATATTATGACATTTTGTAAGTCAGAAAGAATATTGTGTGTCTGTTTTTTTCTCATTATGAAAAGATATGCTCTTTTCATGGGTTCTTTTTCATTGCAAAGGAAAAGGAAATGAAAAGATAATTCATGAGCAGAGTTGAAAATGCAAATGAGAAATCTTGCCTTGGCTAATGCTGTACACACCAGAGACCCCTCTTCTTTTGGGTGGCAAGATCTTTTTAATGAAGATAAAGGACTGATGTAAGTGATGCAGGTATTTTTTGTGGAGTAGTTTTAAACACCTCTTTGTCATAATCACATATTTAGTTTTATTTTTCACAACAGGCTGGGCCTGGTGGTACAGAGCCATAATCCTAGTTACTCAAGAGATTGAAGGAGGAGGCTCACAATGTCAAGCTCTACCTGGACTAGAGAATAGGTTCAGAGTTAACCCCAGGCAACTTAGTGACGGTCAGCTGTAGAACAAACATTGCAAGCAGGGATTCAATTCAAAGATCTTAGTGATAGAGGCTTGCTTAACACCGGTAAGGCCCTAGACTCAAACCTAGAATGTGAAGAAAGAAGTAATATAAGCTTCCTTAAAAGTAAAAGGATGAGGACTAGGGACATATTTCATTTGGAGGCTATTTACCTTGTATACATGAAGGTCTTGGATTTAATCCCCAGCATTGTGGGGTTTGGTGTATGTTTGGGGGAGCAGACATGAAAGGAGTGGCAAATTAATGAAGGAAAGTTTGATAAGAAATTGGATATTATCTTAATTTTAAAGGATAATAATATTGGGAAATTTTGATACCTTGTGCCTTTCTAAAATGATATAAAGAGAACATGATATCACATGAGTTAGAAACATTATTTTAAAAAAACCTCAAATTAGGGGTTCGTTCACAAAGTTACAAGTCTGTATTTTTCAAGTGTCACAAACAAAAAAAGGCTTTGAATTGCTTGTGAGAGAAGTGTGTTAAATAAAATATGACTCTTGATGGTATTCTGGGCTGGGGGTAGGAGATATAAGAGTCACAAGGAGCAGGGCATGGTGGCTCATAACTAAATCCTAGCACACAGGATGAGACACGAGGAGGGTTTAGAGTTCAAAGCCAGCCTGGGATACATGACAAGCCTGTGTCTCAACAACGACAAACAATAAAATAAAAACAAGTCCAAAAGCAATAAAGAATTGCTTCCATGCATTAAGAAAAATATAACCATTATTAGAAAATGGTTAAAAATTGAAAACAAAATGCAGATTAAGTAGTATACTTACTTATTAATGCTAATCATCTTACTTGGTTATTTTTAGTAGTTGTATGAACTATATAAAATATTCTTGTTATTTAGGAAGTTCATTCTTAACTATTTAACAATGAGGCAACATATCTCAGTGGTTTATAAAAATGTGTTTCTTACGAGCACAGACATACATGGGCTCACACAGATTTACAGAACCAGAGAGGAGGTGCCTGGAAAGCAACATTATTTAAAACATTATCTAACAACCAGATAAAGAGAAAAGTCAAGTAGATTAGGGGGAATGGTGTTGTAGGCTGATGGCTCAATCTAGAAACAGAAATCTATAGGCCTTTTTTTCTCAGAGATCATGAAGCTTGGCTACCGACATGGCAGAGGCTGGGACTGGAAATACTAGACTGTGTCAGATGGCTAGTTAAAAATGCTGTGAGGAGAAGATGAGGGAGTCCTGAAGAGTTTTAGGCAGAAGAATGACGAGATGGAGGAGGAGGACTGCATGCATGAGTGTGAGTTGAGGGCTGAGGCTGGGGGCTGGCAGGCAGCTCCATAACCTTCCACCCCATTGTTCCTCTCAATAATGTCCTTCTTTCCAACACTGGGACAGAAAGCAAGGACCATATCATGTTTTATCTGAGGTGTGGTTTATTATTGCTCAGAATGGCAGGGAAGGGCACTCTTGACTGCCCAAGGTCCTCCTTGTTGTAAAGTCGTCATCTTTACTTCTTGATATGGTACCTCACATTACAGGTAAATTTGAGGATCCCCTAGCTTTATTAGTTTACAAACAAAGTCACCCTGCCTTGAAGTACCGTAATTATTTTTCTTTGTGCAGAATGTCTTCTAGATGGTGGTGGTGAGGGCATTCTGATGAGGTGGGTGCTTAGCCTA